CCGCACATGCCTGCCTGCGACGTCACAGTTCACCGTGACGTCACATTCGCCGGTGGTGCCAGCCCGTTCAGCCCGCCGCCATTACCGCCGACCCCCGACCCGCCAAACCTAGATGGTGTCGCTGGCCTCCGCTCATCGTAATGTATGCAGCCGTATTCGCCGCGGAAGAGGCGTCGAGTGAGACGGCCCCTCAGGCCCCAGCTGAGGCAGCGTTCAGTGACCGGCTTGGTTGCCACGGCAACTCCCGCCAAACGGTGTCGATCGGCGCGCGGGGAATCCCCGCCTCCGCCCGCGTCGGACCGCTGACCCATACTGCTGGGTACTGACACGCGCGTTAGTGGACTAAAAAGGCTACAGACCGTCCGACGGGTGCACTCATGTGGCTTGTTGCTTATGGCCAGCAGGTTTTGCTCGGCTTTTTCGTTGAGTGGTGGTTCCCGGGCTAAACAGCATCTCTGCACGCGACCCGCTCTCCGCAGCGTTTCCGGCCACAGCTGGCACAGTGCCAGCGTTCAGTTGAGCCTCACGCCGGAGATAGGCGTCATTTGGTGCTCAATTGAGCCTAACGCCGTTCATGGGCGTCATCTGGTGTTTGAATGAACATCACACCGTTAATGGGCGTCTCTCACACCGTTAATGGGCGTTAATGGGCGTCTCTCACACCGTTAATGGGCGTTAATGAGCGTCTCTCACTGCCGAAGTCGCGATCTGTCCCGTGCCTTACACCTGAAGAGATTTTTGAGCACTGCGTGTAAGGCATTACATGACTGGGCGGCGCACAAAGGAGCTTTCTAGCTTTCTTTTAACAGCCCGGAAGCTTTGATGAGTTCAACTTCGACGGATACAGAGGATCACGACATTTCTGCCTTTTTGTCCCGTCTTCAGGTGTCATACTTAAGAACTAGACGCCGCCTCAATCGAAGCAGGCATTACAACAATGCTTCGGCCTCCCAGATGGTCCATTCTAACGTCTACGTTTTGCTGGATTATTACGGCGCAAGATGATACCTCTTGACAAAACAGACGATACGAATGATCCGAAAGGTTACGTACAGTCAACTGATGGTCAGAGAGATTACACAGATTGGCGCTGCATATCTGTGTTGTTACTGTATTGGCTGAAGCCAAATGTGGGCCTTGGTACTCTTCTGGTCTATCACATCTGAGGATTTGCTTGTCTTCCAATATCGTCTCCACGCTGTTGGGCGCCTCGGTCCTCTCACAGATCCGATACTCCTGTTTGTTTTATCAGAATGACGCTTAAAAGATATTCCCAGGAACCAAAGTGTCATCAACCCTGCAGCAAAAGTAATATTTGGGCGTGAAAAGCTCGATTGCGTTTTGGATCCGCTGGAGAAACTCGGCTGGATCCTTGCAGACATGGTCGTCAAATACGGCACGTTGACGCCGCTCGAAAGATACTGCCTTCTGATGAGCCAGAACGCTAGCCCACGATTTCTGGAGGGCATCTCAAACCTAAGTTTGCCACGCGTGGCAGGATGAGGATTTATTCGTCCCTATGTTACCCACTGAGGTGGGAGGGAGGCGCTCGTGCTGCCGAGCTGCCACCCGATATAAATCCTTCCCCCGCGGTCTGATACGACTCCCTAGTGTAAGATTTGACCATGCGCAGCGCCACCTACTATTTCGACGCCCACCCTGTTCACGGCATGGTCCGAGCCGTGCATGCATGCACAAACTGTGTGTGTGTGTGTGTGTGTGTGTGTGTGTGTGTGTGTGTGTGTGTGTGTGTGTGTGTGTGTGTGTGTGTGTGTGTGTGTGTGTGTGTGTGTGTGTGTGTGTGTGTGTGTTTGCGCTTGCAGCCAGTGACACCTTGTTTTAATGCTGTGATGATGGACATAAATGGCCGCGTGTCCAGTCTGGATAGCCCGTATACACGTCTATGTCTATATCTAATTCTGACCGCTATTCTAGAGACTAACCGTTCGGACGGAGTTAACTCGCAAGAGTCTTCCGACGCTTCAACATTGTTGCAGACTTCGAACTGAACTAAATACATCAAATGTAGCATTAAGCTTGTTGGGCCCTACAATTACAATCAGGAGCAAAACTTTTATAAGCGTATTAGGGCATTTTTGCGTGGCATTCCGGCGTGCATTAGTCACATGCTCTACTGTGCCGGATACCCGCCGATGATGCTAAAACACATTTAGCTTCATTTGAGGCATTAGCCTACTAAAAGCTGTGCCTCAGTAAACTGCGTATTATTTTGGGTCATAATATGGGGATGTATATATATATATATATATATATATATATATATATATATATATATATGTCTTTATGACAAGAGCATTCTTCACGCAGCAATAAACGTCTTGGAAGTTATGATCCTGGGATCGCATGGGAGGCTAGCACGCAGTACAGCCTGTTGATAGGACATACAGATAGCGGCCAGCAGGCGGTACAGCCTGTTGATAGAACATACAGATAGCGGCCAGTACGCGGTACAGCCTGTTGATAGAACATACAGAAAGCGGCCAGCACGCAGTACAGCCTGTTGGTAGAACATAGAAGCAGCGGCCAGCACGCAGTACAGCCTGTTGGTAGAACATAGAGATAGCGGGCAGCACGCAGTACAACCTGTTGGTAGAACATATATATAGCGGTTCTTTGATTATGGTAGATGTGAAGCGCATTAGGGAAAATACAAAAGTTCCAATATTTCAGTTGCTAGCTCTGAAAATCTGCCGTCGTTTGAAACAGTTTCGCTTGCACGGTCCGGTCAAAGTAATCTAAGAATAATTTTTGATGCGTCAGGTCCTTGCCATGGGTGCAAGGTCTCCATGGTGTGCCGAATTGAAATAACTTGACATCGTAGACGACCTGGTGGTTAAATAGATGGATCGATGGAAGCGAAACATTTCACAGGTGCTCAAAGTAGAAGTGCGGTCCACATCAAAAGCTGGATGTCTTGTTTTTCTAATCTGCTAGGCACACATAACATCCAGTTGCTGTACAGCGTCTCTTAATTAGGCGATCAACGTGTGGTGGGGGTTTAGCTAATGGTGACTTCTTATATTGATGCTGTCGTAAGTATGCTATGCGTATTGGCGAGTGACATTATGCATGTAGATAAGACGGTATTAATAGCTTTATTCATCGTATAATGAACAGGAGAATGAACATGTAGATGTATTGATATTTCGGCTGCGTGTCTTTGTCAAAACGAATATCAGTAGTGAATTGAAAGTTGCCTATTTGTATACGAAAAGAACATATTTCTAACACAAAAATTCAAATATTGCCAAATATCACAAGGAATTGTAAATTCAAAGCTGGCAATTTTGAATTTGATGCTGATATTTGTTTAAATAAAGGCATATAGCCGAAATATCGATGTATGTATCCGTCTATTTTCCTAATTATTCTGCGACGAATAAGGCTATTTGTACCGTCTTATGTATGAGTCATGTAGTCTTCACAATGACACCCAGAATCACCTAACACACGTTTGTTTCAGGCTGGAGTTCAGACAGATAATAGAGTTGTATGCAACTCTCATGGGGGCATGGAAAACGTTGGATTCCTGAGGACAGAGCAGAGGTGAAAACTCTGGAAAATAATGCTGCCCTGCCATGTAAAATTTATCTGACCAAACGCCTTATCTCTCCATCGGTCAGCCAAACAATGCGACTTTCAGGATTTCTGGGTCTCGAGTTCACTGCTTCTGCCTTACAACACCCTTACCTACCCATTGTCTTACCTACCTACTCTTAGCTACCTATTGCTTACCACTGTGCTCGAGGCTATGGCCGACGATGTTGACAGCAGAGAGAATGACCTGATCGGTGTACTAGTCCAGAGTGATGGAAGCACGCGCAAAGGGATCTGCCTCGCCGAACAG